CCCGGCCCCCGCTGTGGGGCAGCCCTGCCCCACCGAGGCACAGCCGTGCTGTGGGGCAGTCCTGTCCTGGGGGGTCCTTGGGGTGGCCCTGGCTTGCTGGATCCCCACCATGTGCCTGTGAGGCAGCTGAGAGCCGGTGGGGCTCAGCCTTGGTGTGGGGCAAGTCCCTGGAGGGCCCCTCTGCCTGGGGGCAGCCCTGCTCCAGCCCCAGTCCCCATGTGCCGGTGGGACAGCCGTGACCCACTGAGCTGGCCCGCTCCTGGGCAGCCCTGCTCCATGGGGGCCACCCGTCACGGACACCCCATTCCACCCATCCCAGGAGCAGGGTTCAGCTGCTGGACGGGGCCCCATAGCCACGTGGAGGAGCCAGGGCAGGCAGCGCCTGCAGCGCGTCATTGCCCGGGATCCTCCTCCGGAACGATCCCTGGCAGCGCCGCGCTCGTCCTTGGGGCTGCCCTGTCCTGCCTGGGGCTGCACTGCAGCGTAGTGTGGGCTGGTGCCCTGGAGCGCTGGCGTCCTGCCTGGCAGCCCGTCGGCAGCCGCTGTAGCACTTGGCACGCGCTGTTCAGGATGCTCCTTCGGGAAACCCGGGGCAGGAAAATACGATCCTTCTCTGCAGGCTTCTGTGCTCACCTCAGGCACCAGCTCATATAGGGCAGAGCTGTATGGAGGATCTTGGCCTGTGCAGAGTTTGGACATCTGTTTTCCACCCACCCCTTGCTCAGGGATGCCCTGCCCGCCGTTGGCCCCATGTGTGCCCCTTGCTTGGGGACACCGAGTTCTCTATGGCCAGGCTGTCTCTTCCCATCAACACAAACCTAGCACTTGTTCAGGAGCAATGAAAACGAGCTGGGGTGTCTGTGGTGGGTCTCAGAGCTTGTCAGTGTCCTTGACAGAGAGAAGCAGAGCGGCAGGGTCACACAGCCCTGGTACCTCCATGGTTTTGCTTTCGCTGAGATCTCAGAGAGTGTAACATCCCCTGCCAAGTTACACCTGCGTGCGCTTGGGAGCTGGGGAGGGAAAGACCAAATTCCACTTGCGCAACCTGTCCCCAGTGTGCCCATGGCAGAGAGGGCTGTAGAAGCCCCGTGGCTGCTCTCTGCAGTAGCTTCTATGGTGAGAGAGCTTCCCGTGTCCGGGTGAACTTGGCGGGAACAGCTGGAACCAGGAAGGGTGAACTTGAGCAACGTGCCGGAGGAGCGAGCGGTGGCGGGGTGACAGCCCGGAAGGCCGGCTGCTGCCGAAGGTCGTTATCATCGCTATCTTGTCTGGAGCCTGATGTGCTGTGTAAGCAGGTCTCTCCTGGGGCAGTGTGCTTAGAGGGAGGCTGTTGCAAGGCTGAGCTGAACTCGCTGATCGAGAGTAGGGTCCTTCACATGTGTGTGGGCAAAGAATTGCTGTTTGGATGGGTCTTGCCTAATTACAGCACAGCCCTAGCGCTTGTTACCAGCAGGCACTTGATCCCGTGGTGAAGTCCACCCAGGCTCTGCTGGGGTGACACTGTTGGGCAGTGGCAGGGGGCCTGTGTGCAACCCTTTCCCTGAGCCCTCTGGGGTGTCCGCCTGGCTCGGGCGATGGGGCTGGGCTGACTTTTCTTCTGGCTTTTTCTTGTGCATGTTCGGCTGAACGCGAGATCAGCTGGGCTGCATTCGGCAACAGACCTGTCTAAGTCTTCCCCCAGTTCCTGGCGGATGGAGCACAAGGTACTTGGGTGTGTTGTGACTACCAGGTCATCTTCTGAAACGATGCCTCTATTTTTCTCCTTTCTGCATTCAGCTCTGTCACTTTATAAGTCCCTTCCCAGGAAGAGCAGCTGGGGAAGCTTATGAGAGGTCTCCCAGTGAGGAAATGGGCTCTTCCTCCTTCTCTTGTATTTAAGAAACTGCTTCCTCGCTGTCCAGCCTGAGAAATCTCTGTCTAATTCCCTTTGTGGGGCTGTGGCTGATGGGTGAAAATCCCGGGGCTGCCTTTGGAGGAAGGCACTGCAGCCACGTGCTAAGGTCTGGAGAAGCGTCATCGCAAGAAGACGAGGGGCAGACCCTGCTCGTAACGTTGTAACCTGCCAAGCTTGGCCTCTGGAGCCAGTAGCCTGTGTCTCCTGGGAGCCGGTAGCCGCGTTTGGAGGGGCCCGGCTGGGAGTGGGGCCGGGATCCCTGGCCTCTGGCAGAGCATCCCGTGCTGCGCTGGCGGGAGCTGTGGGGTCACGGCATGGGAAGGAGTTAGCCCTGAAGGATGGGACGCAGAGTGAGAGGGTCTCCCCTACCACGTTGTACGGGAACCAGAGGTGCGTTTTCACGTGTTGTTTCCTGGAAGGAGAGAGAAAACCTTCACTCTGCCACTCTGGGGCATCTCCGGAGACAGGTCAGGGCTGTCCACCTCCTGCCCTCCTGTTGCTTCCCCTCTGTGCTCGTGTCTCCTTGTCCCAGGAGTATTGTCCCTGCCACAGCAGCGACGGTGACCTGGCAGCAGCCCCAAGCACAACCGTCAGCGCTGGTGGTCTCAGCGGAGCCCTGCTCCAGGCTCCCGCTGCCACCGCCTGCCCCGGCGCTGAGGTAGGAGCACGTGGCCTGGTGCCCTTGCCATGTGCTCTCCTTCGGGACGGGAGCGCGGGGCTGTCTCCTTTGCAGGCTGGTTCCTTGCGCGAACGCGGCTGTGGGCAGAACGCAGCTGGGCAGCTGTGCTCAACGTGAGAGTGGGCTTTCCTACCTTGCCTCTCGCGCACTCAGGCTCGTCCAGCTGCAGGGTGTTGAGGTGGCCTCTGACACGAGGCACGGGCCATCCTACGCGACCCCTACGCGAGACTGCAAGGCTGGCTGTGGGTGCCAGGGGCTCGTGGGTGCTGCCTTCCGGGCATAACCTCCAGCCTTGCCTTGCTAGGCCTCCAGAGCATGGAAGTCAAGGACAGAGTCCAGGTATTTGGGGGCTGATTTCAGCCCAGTTTGGTTTGTCCCCCTCTAGTAGAAAGCCGGGACTGCAGTAGCCTCATTGCTCTGGCAGAATCATCATGGCTTTGCTTTGATGTCTGTTCCTTCATGCCCTGGTGATATCAGACCCCGTAACCCCTTCCCAGTTAGTGCTGGAAAGTGCAGAGTCTTGGTTCTTGGAATTATTTAACCCAGGGGGATGAGTTTGGGCCAATTCTTCACAGAGGTGTTTTGACTGGCTGAAGGAAAGCTGGCAAGAGCCATGAGTGGATGCTGAGACCTCTCTGAGCTGCCCGGGTGTCATGGTCTGTGCTAGAAGCCACGGTGCCACTGCAGGCAGCTCTCTGCTTGTGGGGCTGGAGCCAGGGCGCAGCCTGTGTGCTCCTGGTGCGTGGGGCAGACCCCCAGGATCCCATCTGGAGCCGCACGGAGAGCTCTAGTGCGTCAGGTGCTCGTTGTGCCCCGCTCGCGCGTACCGACACACTCAGCCCTGCAGGGTGAGCTGGGATCCTCCCTGCACGTGCAGGGGCTCCGGGGAAGCGCGGCTTTGAGGCAGCAAAGCAGGTGGGCAGGGAAGGTGCTTGTGCTCCTAAACCTGCTCCTAAACCTGCTGATTGTGAGGACGGCGGCAGTGAAGGCAGGGTGCCTGCGGGAAGCTGTCCTGCCGCAGCCGTATGGGCTGCAGCATCCTCAGCGAAGGACACGTCTCGGAGCCGATGCCTTGCTGCCTGAACCGAGCATCTGTCCGAGTGGAGTGGGACAGCGTCCCTGTCCCTGTCTCCCTGGTCTCCCTGTCCTGGAGCTGGCGCCCAGATCTTTATTGGGCAGAAAGTCCTCCTTTCTCCTCCTGACCTTGAGCTGGGCCGTCTGGAGCACTATGAGCTCCTTTCCTGCAGACAGTACTTGGCCTCTGGGAGCCTTTTGCTCATCCCAGCTGGCTCGGGTCGCGACGATCCTGTTAGAGGCTGCCTGAAGATAATCCGGTGGCCTCCTGCCTACTCGGCACCACTGGCTGATCCGCTCCCAGCGCTCCGGCCGCAGCGCTGAGGAGGGGCGAGATGCGCTCTGGGCTCGTGGGGTCTGGGAGCCGGGACATCCTGGGCAGCGGCGTCAGCTCCCCTGGCATCCGCACAAGTGTTACAAAGCAAGCTGGGCGCCCGCCGCCTCCACATGGAGACTGAAACCCATCTTATCTCACCTTGTGCTGGGACACGATCCCTCATGTTTAGTCTTTGGTATTTTGCAGCTTCTCCAGCCCCAGCAGTATGTCCTGCTTTCCTGACGTGGTTGAACCAAGCTGCGGGGCACCGTGCCAGGGGCATCCCGGTGGGTGTGCAGTGTCCCTGGGCAGGGAAGGGGCTCCGGAGCAGGCTGGGGTCCCTCTGGCGTTCAGATCTGACCTGCTGGCTGGGGACACAGGGGCAGCCAGGCAGCAGGTGGATGGATGTGCAGGTTTCCCTGCCCTGACCTTCCAGCCTGACTTTAATAGCTGTATTCTCGTGGAGTCTTAATTATAGCGTGTGCATGATAATGGCCTCTATATATGGGTAGGCTCTCGCGCCCTTACAAATCTGTTTCTTGTTTTTTAATAGTCTGGCTTCTAAACTCGCACCAGGAAACAAAAGAGAAGCAAGATAATCATCAGGAGAGTGTGGTCTGTGGGTTGTGTTGTTTTGTTTTGTTTTAATGGCCAGCTACAGTTGGGGCTCTGAATTTGCTCGCCTGGCTCATTGCTGGCACTTGCCGGCTGCTGGTGGCTTGGGAGGGATCTGCAGTTGTCACAGGTCTGTCCCGGGACAGCGGCTCCCTGGCTGCTCTGTGGGACTGTCCTCACCAGTGCGGAGCCTGGGCAGGCCCCGCTGGGCGTCCCCGTGCCGCCCTCGTGCACGTGGGGTGGACACGCTGCCTGCTTCGCCTCCCGGTGCAAATCCCTTCCCTCTTCATTCTGCAGATTTAACAAGTCTGCTGGGTGCTGGGATTTAGTTTCCCTACTCCGCCTGGGGGCCTCTGAAGAAGCTGAGCTCAGAGGAAGAAAAGAGAGCCCCTTTAAAAGGGGCTTTGCTCGAGTGCAGACAGGGGCTGGTGCTCGGGCCCCTTGTGAGCCGGTGG